TTCAAGCATTATCTAAATCAAATTGCCATTTTGAGAAGAAAGTAACCATTCCATTCTTGTAAAGATCACTTTAATCACAAAGTCAAATTCTTGAGCCTCTAACTTGTTTCTTTTGCACACTCTTAACCTACTAGGCCAGAAGAAACATATTTAAAGTGTTCAACCACTCTAGAGGGCCTGGTACAAGCATTGGAACTATGTTCATCAATGTTGCTTCAAAAACAAGGCAAATCCACAAACATGTGATTCTTGATTTCTGACTTCTCCAAGCATCTAAACTTCTTGCTTATAAATAGAGACACTATTTGTGAGATAAGACACGAATTATCAAGCACCCAAACTCCCTGAAAACCATAAATTGCATAAAAACTCCATTGTTACCACAGTTCTGCCCAAGAACTTCCATCTCTTAAACCACTCGTGTGTTTCCTCTCCAAATCATCTCAAAAGCTTCCTTACCTCAAATATAACTCATCCAAATCCTTGTTTCCAAATTGTAACACCATTCTCACCATTGTCCAAACTAAAAAACATAGGTCTGCAACTTGACTTCTCCAGGCCATTTCAGTCACTCTCAACTCAAGCTAAGCATTGCATTAGCTCCCTAGAGACTCGAGGAAGTTAACTTGATCATTGCAGCACTTTGAATCAAGCTCATTTGCAAAAAACGAATTCCATTTTCAAGGTGAGTTTTTTTTACTTTTGAACTCTTCACATAGGCATCATTTGGTTTCCATTTGTGAAGATAAAATGTAGACATCATAGCCCTGAAACTAACCACGCCCTTAGATTTCATTTATATTGCCTGAGTAGTGTGAATTTCAAGTTTGAACTTCCTGAAAAAGTTAGGTCAAAATTTGATATCATTAGAAATATCATTCATCTTTGATTTATAGCTTTAGTTATTTACATTTATGGATTCGTGATGAAATTTTACGCAACTTTCATGTTTACATTTTCCATTTTGGTTGAGAGATGAAGAAGTTACGGGTTTTGAAAATCTTGTGGAATTTTTTGGCACGAGGTTGAAGATGATACAAGCCTAGGATTGGTTTTGTAATATATATTTATGATTTTGTTTTAATATATGGATGTATCACCACTCCAGTGGTTAAAGCGCGCGCATGTTACCTCTTGGACCTGGGTTCGAGCCCCAGCGTCCGTTTTGCTTATATTTTCTTGTTTCACTTTTTTTGTTTGACTGCAGCGCTGGGCCTCCCTCCTTTGGGCCTTGCCATTTTTTGCTCAGCAACACCCTCAGATCACTATGCAACCCGCTGGCCTATTTTTTTTAATTTTATTTATTTTCTTTTTCTGATTACAAAAATACAATTGGGCCTAAAATCAAACAAAAAATTGTTTTCTTCTCTCAAACTACCCTTTTTATTTTTACACCCTATTGACTTTAATTTTTACATTTTTATTTTATTTTTCTGTATTATTATTATTATTATTATTATTATTATCATTATTATTATTTTTTAACCAAAAATACCAAAAATATTTTATATTTATTATTTAAATATTTAATATATTTTTATTTTATTTCTTTTAGACAAAAAGACCAAAAACATTCCTTTAACAAATTTCTTTTCTTAATTAAATTAATATTAGACTTAACTTATTTTAATAAAATTAATTTAGAACTTAGGAGTTTAGTTAATTAATTTCTTTCCATCCATTTTAGTCTTAATTAAAAAGGTTAAAATGTTTTCATAAAAACCCTAAAAATATGTTTCTTAGTTAATTTCATTTCTTTTTTTAAGATTAACTTAGGTTTAACTTTCATTAAATCAATTTAAATTAATTTAGTTTCAATTAACTATTTTCTTTTTTAATTTAATTATGATAAAACCTTTTATACAAAGAATCCAAACAAAAACATTTCTCTTTTCCTTGTATATTATCTCACATTCTTGTATAATATTTATTTAAGTTCAATATGGTTGTAGTAGTAAATTAGATTTTTATTTACTTGCTCTCCCATTTGTAAATTTGTATCCACATCCCCAAATGATGTAATAGTGTAGAACTTTATATTTCTGCAATTTATCGCTTTCAATATAAATGCTAGTAATTAGGGTTTGTATGACAAGATATAAAATCAACATGTAGAAAACCCTAATTCAAAGACAAAAATGCATGAAATCAAAACCCTTGCACACTTGCACCTCTAGGACTAACCTCACTTGTCGCCTAAGATAAAAACAGTCATGTCCCTCGAACGTGGGATACTTTAGCAAAGATCATCGATTATAAGATCGTAGTCCCTCGATGACCCTTCGATGTTGCCTTCGGTAAAACGATCTTAGTCCCTTAAGACAAGTTGCTAAGTTATCCTACAATGTTGCCTTCTATGGTTGTTCGACGATCCATGTTTGTCCCTTCACATCCAATGATATGGTTGTTTACTAACTAATAGTAAGATAACACTATCTAGAGGAGAAAGAAAAGAACTAAGACTTTTTGAGTAGGTAGAACACTTGTAGTTGCTTGCTCACAAATAAAACCATCTTCGTACTTACACTTTCAAAACATCTTTCCAAAAACAAACATCTCTTTAAACTATTTTCAAAACCAACACTTTGTATACATTCTCGTCGAAACGAGAATCATTAAAAGGTTTACCGAAACAAAGGCATTTTCAAAATATTTTCAAACTTACACAAAGCACAAAAACATTTACAAAGCATTTCAAAGTGAGTTAGCAACTAAGAGCCCATAGATAACTACGGATGAGAAGGGTGGTAACACCTTCCCTTTTCATAATCTACCCTCCGAACTCAAGAAAATATCTCAAAAGGTATTTCATGTTCTTTTCACCCTTTCCTTTATTGGATAAAAGAAAAGTCGGTGGCAACTCTTGATATCCGCAACAATTGCGATAAATCGTAAAACACCCAAGTCAGTTCTCCCACCGTATTACAAGCGGCAACGGCTGCAACAATTACTCCACGTACAGCAGTAGAACAGGTAGCTCTAGATCCAACCATTGTTGAAAAGTATGAAAGTCAAAAATCTGGAAATACAGAGAATCATAGTTGATATACTACTTTTTCAGACCGAATGCGGTGAATATTCATGTTTAATTTTGAGAATTCTTGATTAGACAAGCTGAAAAGGTTCCAAACTGGTGAATCAAGGAGCGAATATGTAATTGTGGAAAACGCAAGAATCAAAAGTAGATTTCCACGGACATCCTCATTGTTCCATTGCAGAACTAGAAGTGGATTTAGAATTAGTGATTGTGGAGAGTAACGACATATCAGAGTTTCTAATGCGGTGGAGAGGGGACTGACCTACAAGGTTAGCACTCCAACGTTTAAGTCAATATCTGAGAAACAAAAGTGAATAGAAATTGAATTTGAAATTATGTACCTGGAAGTGCCAAAATATATATATATATATATATATATATATATATATATATATATATATATATATATATATATATATATATATATATATATATATATATATATATATATATATATATATAATGAAAAGGTTATAACAACCTACTATTTATTAGACGTGTAATGAGAAAAACTGTTTGATGTATTCGGAACTTGGATCACTGTATTTGTCTGTTAGGTACTTAGGTAACTTTGTTGCCCTGAGAAGGTTCTAAACGAATTCCAACTCCTTCTAAGTGGTCAATAAGGAACCATTATGGTTGGCCCGGAACAATCGACAAAGGTCCCAACAAGAGAACAACAATCATCAATGCCATTAATTTAATCGACAATTGTCCTAACAAGAGAACATTAATATGCAAACACCATATTCAAGTCAGATGTTCTGAAGGGCTATTGTTTCAGTTTCGATCTTTGGTTAGTCCAAATTTAATGTCTCAATTTCAAGACTATAGAAGTTAACATTAACAACACTCGAGAGACATACTCTCTAACCTTAAAAACTCAAGTCATATATTAACTTGAACATCAAAGTATTTATAAGTACTTTACAAGTCATTCTCCGGAGCCATCAACGAATATTATGATCAACACCTGGAGTTAAGCTATCATCCCCTTGTTCTTAAAGATAAGTTTTACCCCAAAACAAAATTAATTTACGATAGAAAAATATATGAAATGGATAAACTTTAAAAACAAAAAGAAATTTGTTTATTCTCATCTTATTATTAATTAAACAATTAAATGCTAATGCGATTTTTTTAAATGATTTAGTTTGGTGGAACCAATTACTTAATTATCCTAACACTTAGGCTATGTTTGGATATCATGAAATGATCAGAATGAAACGGAACCAAAATATCATTTGTGTTTAAAAAATTTAGGATGAAATAAGAAAAATTGTTTATTCCGTCCAAATTAGAGGGGAAGAAATATAGTAGTAAATGATGGAATAAAATAGAATTCATACGGCTCAATTCCGCTTCATTTCATCCAATTTTATATAATCCAAACAATAGAATATTATTTGATTTCATCTCTTCCCGCTTTGCTCCATTCAATTCCATTAATCCAAACAAAACCTTAATCAATGCTAATATGAAGTATTGTATGGTTTAGTTTGTGGAACCAATTACTAATTGTGCTTGGAAATGTTTCTTTAGGATTTGTTTAGGAGATGATTTTTAGAGTTTTTTTTTTTAAGAGAAAGACTTTAGATGGCGCCTATATTTTGATGTATTTGATATTTAAAAAGTTCAAAAAAAAAAAAAAAATTGATTTTATATGCTAATGCATTATATTATTTTTATACTTTCTAAAAATAGAAAATATTTAACATATAAACACAATCCTCCAAAATCTTCATCTCTAAAATCCTTCAAAAACTCTCAGCCAAACCTTTAAAGATAAATTTAGATCTTCGCCCCCTTTATCTTTTCCTTATTTTTCATTTTCATATTAATACTATATGTCGGGAATAGGGTTAGGTATCTCATTGAAGTGCCAACATAGTTGGGATTTAATGATCAACCTTATTGCTCTCACCCAAATTTGTTTTCTTAAAAAAACACTTGATTAATGTGTTTATCTGAATTTTGTACTTTTATTTATAAAAAAAAAAAAACTTATATCTAAACAACATAGTTGTATTACAAACAGCAATGATGTCTCCATTTTGACACCCAGTTTAGTCAAACAGAAAGTAATCTTTTTTTTTTCTTCTTCAATGATTGCATTTTGCATATTATTTTGATAAAGCTTACTAGATGTTAGTGAAAACTTGAAATTTGAGATGTCGAAAGTAATGAATGCCATAGAAGAATATAACCATGTAACTGCAAGAACACTGCAATAAAAAACACATATTCTTGCTCTTGTTTTCATTAATCTTTTTACAATCCAAAATGTATTAGAATATGCTTATCATAAAAGGAAAAATACAAAGACAGCAGAAAAATTACACTATGGAAGACATCCATATATTAAAAGATGGACACCTACACGCATTTACATAGACTAAAGGGTATACCTTGAATTTGATTTACAGGAACTGTAGCAGTTGAACTTTGAAATATGCAACTGTTGAATTGCAGTTGAACTTTAAAATATGCAACTGTGGTGAATTGCAGTTGAACTTTGAAATATGCAACTGTGGTGAATTGTAGTTGAACTTTGAAATATGCAACTGTGTTGAATTGAATTATAAGTAACTATTTTCCATAATTTACATCAGTAACCGTAGCAAGTATGTTTTCTCTAATAACAACCGGGAATTGGCTGTTTCAACCATCTGAAAAGAAGACGAAGCTGCCAGTCATTGATTGCACAGGTAGCAACAATACATTGCAGAAAATTGGAAGTATAGATGAACCAACAAATTACATTACCTCAAAGCCCATCTTTTGGTACAATAATTGTGCAGGCATGTTATTTCTGTCAACATGCACGTATACTTGCCTCACGCCTGCTAAATGAATCCATGAATATATATACGGACATAAACTATAATGTTACTCCAACTTAAATGTTTATATTACCGTTAGATTTTGCAGATTCAACAGCAAAATACATCATGTTGCTTGCGATTCCTTGTCGGCGAGCCGATTTGGTTACACATAAGTTAGCAATGTAACCATATCTACTTGGTGGTGTCCTGTTTGTGCTGCAAGAAAAGGGTGTCTTAACTCGTTCCTGCATAAATGATGACTAATTCGTGAAAAACATAAACACCGTAGGTCTAGACACAACAGCAGATGAGAAAGAATGTGTAGTACCCCGGGAAAAGTCTCTCCTTGCAGCAAATACCGGATATTCAAATCAAGTGTTCCTACCACACTTTTTATTATCGAGCGCTTTACATTCTTCTGCTCCTTCCTCACCTGATAAACTTGACTCCAAACACTGTAAGTCGAAAATATACTGAAGAACAATCAACTATCAAACAGTAAAAAACTCAACAGGTAATGTTAAAGTAATATATTTTTCAACCAGGATTTTTCAACTACATCAGAATCTAAGATGAGATTGATTTACCGCGATAATGCAAGCGCAGCTATCCCCATTTTGAACCTTGCACCGCCTTTTTACCGCATTAAATTCCTAAACAATAAGGATTCTTGTTAAAATTTTCAGGAAAGACTGAATTGCAGTGCACCGTGAGGAAATTAAACTGTCAACTCCTACCTGCTCGGCAAATTTCCTTTTGTAGATATCAACATATCTGGAAGAAAAAAACATAATACCAATTATTACCACAAAAATTTACATTGACTGTGAGTCAAGACAAATGAATTACACCCACCATTGGCAGGGTCATTCATACTTCTTCCTACATTCTACTGTTTATTAAATCGAATTTTTGACATTATGCATCTTGATCTGGTTCATCGTCTGTTCTCAATGCAAGTGTTAAAATCTGCTCAATGCATATTTTGCACAATAACAACAAAATATGCTTCAATGAAAGGAACAAATTGTTTCAATTTATGAAAGAATATTGCTTTCTGATGTGTGTTGTATCATACCTTTCATATGTTCGATTCTCCCAATGACTTTCTGCCCTTAGCCAGGCTGCTGTCTACCACAGAATTAAAAAAAACATACGAATAAATAAAAGAAAATGCTATTTTTTGTACAATTTTTCTCTCGCATAAGTACAAATGAATGGTAAAGGATTGGTTGAAGGCACATAAAAGGAGTAGGCACTTATAAAACAAATTTTCCTTTGACTTCAACATTTTGTTAAGCTTTTTTTCTTTTCATCCTCAATAGCGGGACAGAAACCACTTTGGACTTAGAACCGCTCTGCCCCCCTGCCCGCTATTTACCCTATAGCAACCTCTAGAGTGTTATGCACCACTAAGACTCTTCCCATAGCGACCTGCCTCTGCTCCGTTATAGCGGAATAGCGCCGCTAATGACTATTCTTCCTAAGAGTATTAATATGATCGAAAATTTTCAATTTCAAGCATCATTTCACTATGATTTTCTCAATTTCAACACCAATTTGGCCAACCCTACAATTTCGGACACTAACTAAATTGATTATTAACTCCAAACAGTTCATTCATAAAACATACCCAATACTCTTCATCAAGCACAGCATCTCTAGCTACAAACTGCCCAAACTCAAACCTTCTTTCTCGAACCAATTCATAATCCGACGGCTGCAACCGATCGAATCGAAGACCATCAGACCTTAAAGTTCCTTCTTCCACTTTAGGAATAGATGAGATTGAAACCTCCATCGAAACAGAGAGTTCTTCCTTCTTCTTCTTATTATTTTTCATATCACTATTACCATTCACAGTTGACGAAAATCTCGAATCCATAGACCTATTATTCATATTCAATAACAATTAACCAACACAAAAATTTCAAAAACTAATAAAAATCATTCACCAACAAAAAAACTAAGAAATTAAAGGTGAAAGAAAACTTACATGGTCCATGAATTGGTAATTTTAGCGCATTTGCAAGGTTTTACAGATCCATTGAAAAGTAAGATACGAAATTCAGATTTTTGAATTGGAAAAGTTGACATAGGAGACATGATTTTCATCTAGGTTATTGAAAAATGGAAGAAAGGGATTTAATGGTTTTTGGTGAAAGTGAAAAAGTAGGTGCTAATTGATTTTGATTGAGAAGCATGAGGTTTTGGGAAGAACGTGGTTTTGATTTTGACGGTGTTCGTTTTCGCCGGCGCGGTTTGATGACATCACCGGCGGTATAATGGATAAATGGGTCTATCCGTTTTATTTCAACAATATGTAGCCACGTAGGCTTTCTGTTTTCAACACCATACCTAATTTTTTTGACAATATGTGAACCAATTAATATACCAAAGTTAGGTTTTTTTAAATAAACAATTTGTATTTATCAGAATTCAAATATTAGATATCCAGAGAAAAATACATCCTTAAAACTCAAGCTTTCATCGGGTGAATGGGTATTTAAATTTGGTTGGATATTAGAAAGAAATATGATATTAAAAATTGGATAGGGAATAGCACTTTCATATTAATATACAGGGTTATGTTAATACATACCTTGGTGTGTTTTAGCAACATTTTCTTTTTTTTAATATTTAAGTGGGCCCATCAATTTATTCAATTTTTTTTCAGACTTTGTTATTTAAGGAGATTTAAAATTCTTGTTAATTTATTGTAGCAAATTAATATAAGGTGGATCATAATTATTTTTTTTATATGATAAACTAGTCGATAACCCGTGCTGTCGCACGGGGCCGGTCGAGAATTCATAAAATGTGGAACTAATGTTATCATGTAACAATAAATTTGTTTTTATGTAATTTAATAAAAGTTCATCTAATTCGGCCAAATTTAGTGTATCAAACTTATTTGACAACATTAAAAAATGTAAACTGAAATCATGATTGTGTAACAAAATAAGAAACTGTGATGACTCTTCAAAATAAGAAACTATCACGAGTCTTCAGATACAACGCAACCAGCTTGGAAACGATGTTTTCAACTTTTTGACCTGCACAATAAATTATGCAAAAATTAGACAGCATTTACGGAAACAATTTATATTAAAGAAAATATTTGTTATTATGTACTTACCGATCAACAAAGAGATTGGAAAACTTCTTTGTATACAACATTTATAGTGATAAATGTTGATACATTCATACTATCATGTATTAAGATCTTCATACCACTTTTGCTTGTAACTCTTGAAATGGCTACATACAACTGGCAATGACTGAATACAAGAGTAGGCAAATACAATCCAACTGTATCAAGTGATTGGCCTTGAGACTTATTAATTGTCATTGCGTACGACACAATAATTGGGAACTGTCTCCTAATCAACTTAAATGGCCACGGTGACTCGGAAGGTGACATAGACATTCGAGGGATGTAAAAGATGTTACCAACATTCTTACCAGACATGATCTTTGCCTCAATAACGTGATTTGCCAACCTTGTAACAATTAGTCTAGTTCTGTTACACAAACCATCGTTTTGGTCCAAATTCCTCATAAGCATTATTGGTGTACCAACCTTTAATCTGAGTTTGTGATTTGGGACACCTGAAGTCCTAAGCTTGCTAAGAAATTCTGGAGTAAGACATTCATAGGCTTCGGTGTAACTTGAATCAGTTCTATCAATCGAATCAAAACTCAAATACTCTTTGTCCTCACCTAAGAAATGGGAAAACGCGAATCAATCCATAATGTTTTTTCAAGAATAATTTAATAACAAAACATCTACACGAAAATAAACATCAAAAGAAAAAATAGTTTACCCGGTATCATGTCTAACACGTAATGATTAATTTTATCAACAACTTCAATGGTTGAAGCAAGTATTGCTTTTCCTTGTAGAAATTCTACATTTTGAAAGTCGGCAAGCAAATTTGGGTATGTGCTTTCAACTATAGCTCTTATTGGATCCTCAAAATTGGAAATTAACAAATCCGGAGGAATTTCTATATCAGTTAATCCATCGTTAGGTTCACATATTTTACCGTCGCCAACATTTAATATCCATTTAGAGAATTCTGCAAGTTCATCAGAAGTTGTACCGTCCCTCCCATTCTTTAGTCTCATGTTTTTGGTTAGTGTTAAGACTTGGCAATAGTCCCACACATAAGAAGAACAAATGGAAGCATGAACAATATCAGAACGGCCTGCTCTTGGAACAACTGGAAGTATCTGTCAAAAATCTCCTCCAAATATAACTACCTTGCCACCAAAAATTGTATTTGCAAAACCCTTATCGCTCATGACATCCTTAAGGGTCTTATCCAAGGCCTCAAAACAATTCTTATGAGTCATGGGTGCTTCGTCCCATATTATGACATCAGTAGCTTCGAATAACTGTGAATGCTCAGAGTCTTTGTCAACATTGCAAGTA